CTTTATTCAGCAAGACTATCGAACTGTTCTTGTTCTGTTTAATTCTGAAATTATTCACATATGCAAAAATAGGATCTAACACTTTGTGTGTGCACAGTATATTAAATGTAGATGCTTTTATTACAATCTTCCTTGCCACATATTTTAAAATAAAATAAATCAATACAATCACCATAACAGTCTTGGACAACAAATTAACACCATCCATTCAGGACACAGTTAAGATAATCAAAAAGGCAGTACGAGTAGCTGGAAACCTTGGTCCTCTGATTCTTCTGTATAACATATTGACTATAGATTTCTTCCATTTATGAGAAAAATCAGCAAACAAAACATTAACAATTTATACAGCAGATTTCTTAAATGTCTATATAGAGTGTGAATAGCACTGACTGTAGCACAATGTCTTTATGCACGTCTCCCAAAGAGGTATGTGGGAATTTTAAGCATGTAGAGACTAATACAGGCCCAGAATAGAGTAGATCTTTTGTAAACAACTTTTGGTCTCTCCTGCATGATGGCTCCACAAATGAATGCACTTGGGAGTAATCAAAATGGCTGACCACATGCACTGCAAAATTCATTCCAGAAAAAACAGATCCAACACAAATTACTTCCAGTGGGTGAAAGAATGGTGGGGAAGTCGACTGGACACTAACAAAAAGCATCTATCACTCCCATGCATACGTGTACGTATTAGAAGAATCTTTTGCTGCTAACTTCACATGTACACATGAGAGTATGTGTGGCAGTGAAGTCAGCAGTCCCTAACTGGTTAATGCTGGACTGGTGGGCTACAGACACCTTTCATGCTGTTAGGACGGTCATGGAAGATTATCCATTAGTTACTGATTGAACTCTCTGGATTAAAGTGCTTGTTCTTCGGTAATCAGTTAGGACATAAACTAGTTTAGTCTAACCATTCTTATTTATCTAAGGATCTGCCAGTGGATCAGATGACCTTGGTAAGTCCCCTCCAATCCCTTAAATAGTGAGCTGCTGTCTAATATTGAGACACCTTCCAGCTGCACCAAGTAGGAACTCAGAAAGAGATACAGATATTATATGTGGAAGGACAGGAAGGAATAAAAGATTGGACAGGACCATGCTGAGTCTTTGAATTTTGTTCTGCAAATGGTATGAAAAAGTGCTGTGTAACTCTTAACAAATAAAAATGCACCCAAGTATGTGTATCTTGACATATAAAAATACCTGTTAGCCTGTTGTGACTACAAAACATTAGCTACAGAAGATATTTACAGATAATTTTGTTGTTTGTTCCTGTTAAAGAGATGTTAAGCCTAATTCTTCACTGAAGACATAAACCCAACCTAATTTAGATCAGGTCAGTGAGAGTTTAAAACAGGTATCACATGAGCAACTCCCAGAGGCTTAAGCAGAAGAAGCTAACAGCCCATTGCTACAGAATCCAGCTACTTCAAAATATGAACGTTTGCAAATTGAGTGCATTAGTGGGTTTTGTTTTTTTTTTTTTCTTAATATGGATATGTCACAGTTTCTAGGGAAGGTGTGAATTACTGAACTGATTCATAGTGGGAAAAGACCACACCTGAAAGGTAGAAGCTGCTCCAACAAACATAGATTTTTATGTCAAGATGACAGTTCATTATGGTTTACAGATAAAACATTGTTTGCAAGATAGCTTTAGGTTCCCTAAATCCCAAGCTTTTTTATTTCAGAGAAAGCTAGCCCTTGCCTTTCTCTCACTTCCCCTGTGAAAGTCTACTTCTTTTAGTGGTAAGAGAAATTGTGTCGTCTCACCCTTACTAAAAGGGCTTTCTGTAGCACATGCTCCCAACAGGAAAGGTTTCTTTGACAGCGATTACTTACTGCTTCTTACAAAAAAATAAAAAAGCCAGTTTTGTGCTTCTCTCTCCTGTTGGTCCACTGATATGAAGAACTGGAAATCTACATTCTGCACTGCACTAGAGCAGGGATGGCCACCATATGGCCTTCAATTTGTTCCCATGCAACTCCCAAGCCCAGCTGTGTTACGTGACTGGCAATGAAGTTATTTCAGGGAGTGCTGGGCATTCCACAGCTCTGGATACAGGAAAACAGTACAGTAGGATCCACTTCCTGGGTCATACAATCCAGGCAGGTAAGAGTGTCAAGCATAATGCCACAAAGTCAACCATGATACGTACAGACAGGGAAGTTCAGTATATTGATCCCTTCTTCCCAAGTGTATGGTAGGGATTATATGCTTCCACATGAAATAAGTCTAATTTTAAAAGATAAATAAACTCACAGTTGTGTTTGGAATATGGTGTGCAAGACTTCTTTAATCAATGCTATAAGCAGTTAAAATCCTTTTGTGTCCAACTGCTGGAATGCATCACCAGCAACAATATTTAAGTACCTTTGCTGAATTCAACTATCAAAAAAGGCAATTACATTCTTAGCACAACTTCCCAAGCAAAAAGCAGCATACCTAAAAAGGGGGCAAATTATTAATGCTGACCTATCTCCTAGCATGTCTGGAAGTTTGTGTCTCAGGAAGAAAAAAACCATTTGCATTAATTTAAAAATACAGTGCCACAAAGAAAGGCAATTTGTTGTAGTTCACAGAATCACAGAATGATTGAGGCTGGAAGTGACCTCTGGAGATCATGTAGTCCAATCCTACTGCACAAGCAAGGTCAAGTACAGCAGGTTGCTCCAGGACATGTTCAGTCAGGTTTTGAGTATTTCCAAGGGTGGAGACTCTACAAGCTCTCTGGGCAACCTGTGCCAGTGTTCTATCATCCTCACAGTGATTTATATTTTTTTAATGTTTAAATGTAATTTCCTGTATTTCAATTTCTGCCCATTGCCTCTTACTCTTTTGCTGGGCACCAGCAAGAAGAGCCTGGTTCCTTCTTCTTCACTTCTTCCTGTAAGATATTTATACACACTGTCAAGATAGTTCATGTCTTTTTCCATGCTGGCTATCAGCCATGAGCTCATAGAATTATAGTATCAACCAGGTTGGAAAAGACCTTTAAGATCATCTGGTCCAACCCTTCCCCTAGCGTCTCTATTACTGACTGATAATTTTAGCAACTGTTCACATCCCTGAAATTATTATTGCTAGAAAGTTATTTTATGGCAGTGGTTACTAAAAACTGTGGCAGTAGAGTCACATTCTGTAGGTCGTTTCTGGTGGGGTTTCCACCCTCCTTAAAAGTCTCACAACATATGATTTTTTTTTTTTTAATGTCAAATGCATGAGAGAAAAAAATTATTATTCACTATTCAAGAAGTTCGCCTCTTGCATTTACTGCAGAACGTGTTCATCTCTTAAATTTCATTTGCTTCATGAAATGAAAAATATGGAGGGTTTTCAAAAATTATTAATAATCATGAAACCTTACTCTATAAAAAAAAAATCTATTCAGCCAAAAATTCATCTTAAGGGTAAATTACTCTTCTACTGCGTGAAACCAACTGACTTTTTCAATAGCAGAAAATCCACAAAAATGGTTGGATAAATGAAGACTTCAGTGGCCAAAGCAATCTCCACACCAGCTCTTCTGGGGACTCCCAAGCTATGCAGGTGACACTATCTGTTAGGCAGGTGTGATGAGGAAGATACAGGAAAAGTTATCTTGGAGATACTCAAGAGTGAGTTTCCTAAGCATACTCGAGTAATCAAGGAAAAATTAGCCCTTTCCACTAATACAACTTTACTTCATGTCACTGGAAATAGAAATGCAATTTTAATCTCCCTACACATCTTAAACAAATAAAGCTCATCAACTGAATTTGGTTTTAACATCACACTAAACCTCATCTTGGGAAAAGCAAGAACCTCAGTTTCATACAAAAATCATACAGAAGTGGTCAGTACTGTCAGCATATCTGCCCTACTGGTGTAATATTTCCCTGTGATGTATAGGATGCTGATATTACTAAGAATCCAATTCTGAAACCTTATGAAGCAGAATTTTGAAATAAAGATGCATTAATAGTAATGCTAATAATGCATTTCTGTCATCTCTAATCAGTGTAGGCTGCAGAGACATTATGAACAAATTAATGTTGTATGCATTTGGTAAACATACATAGTTTAGTAAGGTTTAGTAAATTACAAATACTACTTTTATAACATTGCTTCATTGATAAGCCTGCCCATACTGCTCACTACTGTTAAATAGAAGTGGCCTAGGCAGTTTGTAAATGCATCCGCCCATGAAGAACAAACTAGGGTAGCCAGCTTTCAGGGCAAGAGCTGCTCTCTCTTTTGTCCTTGCAGAATGTTTGTCCTTAGTAAAAAATAAAGAATCAAACCTGGCCTCAGAGGCAAAACTACAAACTTCTAAGCAGTGCTACTGAATTCATATTTATGAAGATGTTTCTGGAGCAGCTTTTGGAAGAAAATCATGTGGGTGCCCACAGACATCAGAAATAAGCAGCCAGTACCTGTAAAAACTGAAACTGTGCAGCTCTTCATAGACAACAGGAGCAGTTATCAGTAATGTGAATGACTCCTCAAGGTCACTTCAGAGAACTTATATGCCAAACATCTTCAAAGTACTCCCACACACAATCAGAACTTTGTGTGTAGTCTTAACCCTGCTTAGTTTCATAGCAGCTGAGATACTGAATACCAGAGTAGGTAACCAGATACCTCCAGGAAAAGGGAGCATGGAGCCAGCTCCATTGGCACTGGATGCCATCTTGAAAAATATTTTCCAGTCAGTCAAGCATTCCATTAGCAAATTCACATCTAAAGTCTTTGGCAAGGCAGGAACATTGTGAACATTGTACTCTCTTGCCCTGGGTAACACAGACCACATGAATTTGACAGCCATTTTGATGCCCGGCAATATGCTTCAATGCACACCAACTTGTTTTTAAAACTGAGCAAGGCCAGCACATATGTTTGAGAGTGGATACCTGCCTATGCTGGGCACTATTTCATGAAAGTCATATTTCTGTCACAGATCTAAGGCAAATATTACAATTTACAGGAAAGAAATGAGGACATCGATACATTGTGCGTTATTGGAGACATACAACCTTTATAACACGGTGGCTTTCACTATGATCTCTGGGTTTTCTATGTCTTTTTTGCTTTGGACCATTCTCAGTTCCAGCTGGGCTGAGTTTGGTTTGTTTCCTTCTCCAGCTTGTGCTAGAAAGAGTACATCAGAATGTCATTAAAGATAGCAGTATAAAAAGAGAACAAACTACATTGTTCTGTTACCCCACTATTTTTTTTTATCCTCCTCACCTCCCCAGTCTCCCTTACTACCCCTTAGCTTCTAAGGTGGAAGATCCAGGTCAGCACTGTGATTTCCTATCACCCCTGTTCTGTACCACTCTCCAGGAAAGAAACACAGCTCTGCCATTAATTAGAAAGTGACACAGCCATGCTCCAAGAACCAACAGATCTGGACCTCTTTAGGAACTGAAAGGCATGGGAACTCCAAGGGGAGAGAAGACAAGGAAAAAAAAAAACCAAACAAAAAAAAAAGAAAAATCACTTCTCACATGGCCAACACAGCAAACAGACAGTTTATTATTAGTTGATAATCCCTTCTCAATACTAAACACACGCACCCCAAGGGAAAGTAAGTGAGCTACACTTAAAACAGAAGCTCTCTTGCACATCAAACTCAGCATTTCCTCAAGTTCTTCCACCACTGTTTTACAAAGCAGTCAAGTGCAGTCAGCGTGACTGCAGTCCCAATACAAGCTGAACAGTGCCATCTTCAGGCAGGTGTTGTCAACAATAAAAAAACTTGGAGGACACAGTAAGGAACAAGACTGTGAAGCTCTCATTCTGTAAATCCTCTGTCTGCTTCTACACCGAGAGCTACCTTTAGCCAGGAAACCCAGAAATCTCATTAGATGTTTCTTCTGCTCTAAATCCGGACAGAACAAGGGAACAAGATAAGAATTAATTACCTTTTGCACTCTTAATGGTCCTCTGCAGAACATGCTGCATGGCTGACACAGTCTTTTCACATGCTACCTGCATTAACATAACATATTCAGCTTTTAGAGTTTGGGGGAAAAAATTTAGACCCTTACTTCTTCCAAAATGGGTATTAGAAATCACACACCTTTAAGGACTTTATGGGCTTAAAGGGAAAGAAACAGAATAACATAATCCGATAAATTGATTTCAGTGCTTATGATGAAGTGAGGGCAAAAAATATAACTATATACATGCATGCAGTCTCTCTCTCTTGAGAAGAGCATCTTATTTGTCAAACAGAAATGCAGTAATAAAGGAAAAATAAACAGTCTAAGCTTGCAGAGACATAAATAATTTCTCTCACAACCTTCAAATTGTTTGGATGCTTGTGCGTCCATGCCAAAAGCATAGCAGCGAACAAGTCTCCTGTTCCAACAAAGACAGCATCCACTTTAGGAGACTCCACTCGAATTCTTTGTGTCATCTTGGTACCATCTGCTTTAGCTAAAATAAAACAGACAGTTAAGTAACAGACCCAGCAATTAATACAACAGCATTGACTATAATTTAAAAGTGGTTACTAGATTTTAATTCCTTTGTTGTCTGCAATGCAAAGATGCTAAGGATTACTGTAAACTTTGTACCAGCTCTTCTAAAAGATGCTACCTTTCAAAACTTTGCCAAGCTTTTACAACTTATATACTGTACATATTTCACTTAAGAGGAAGCAGGTAGCTAGCACCTTTATTTTCATGTAGGATTGAGAGCCACCTATTTTCATTTAGACAGCAGCAGCAGCTTGCTCAGGAAACCACATATTTATGGAGAGGGCTGAAGGTAACTGAAAGCACAGAGCAGGTTAAAAAAACCCACAGTTTAATGAAGGAGTTTGTGACTTACTTTTTCTGTGGCTTCCCAGAGCAATTAGGTAGTCGTTTCCTAGAGGTGCTTGTAGGTCTGAGCTTGTGATCACCACAGTCTCTGGTCCCATGGCATGGAGCATATCCATTACCTTTCCATGTGCAAACAGGCAGAAATCAGTTTTTAATCACCACTATAATGTGTGTTGATTAAACTTTGCATCATTCTTAGTACTAAGGATTTTTAACAAGCACCTTATTTTGGCATCTTTTGTAAAGAGAAAAAAGAGTTTCTACTCAAAAGAATTCATTGAATTAGGAGAAATTATTTAAGTAGTAGACTGAAAACATATCTATTTAAATGAACACACCTGTTAAAATATACAAGCATCTCTGTATTATCTTTGGATGCTGCTCTGAAAAGAATACTCTGCTTCAGATGTGATCAGATTTTTTTTTGTCTACATCACATTTTCAGAACATATTATCAAAAGAATAAGAGAACAAATATACAGCTACATGCAAGGGTTTCAAGATGGCAGCTCAGGTGCTAGAGAAGTCACAACTCCAAGTCATGAAGTCTTATTTAGCTACTACTTCAAGAGTTAGCAAAAATGAAGAGTTAAAAAGCTAAATCAGAGGCACAAGTGTGTGTCTGTCACAATCTTTTCTCATTCTGTTACAAATGCCAAATTACACCTGTAAATTCTGTACCTTTTCAGGTGCATTTCCACTCTGTGTGTGCCTCACTTAAATTCATTAATACTCTACTTCTGACATCACCATCAATTGCCACAGAAGTGACTTCAATTTCACAGAAGAAGGAATTACTTCAATAATGATTTCAGCATAAAACACAGATAAAATATTAATTCTCCCAGAAGAGTTTAACTAAAAATCCTCTCCGGCTAGCTATGACTCAGGAGCAGCTGAATGATAAGGATTTATTTCTGCTATTTTTTAATTCTCTATTGTTTTTCTTTCTTGCCTAAGCCTCCAAGTTTCTTCAGCTGTCAGACCTCTTTGCACAGACATCAGCTGGGTTTTAAAAGAAGTAGGAAATCCACCAGCATATGCCAACATAATCAGTGTGTATGTGAGGTAACAATAAACTCTACTGTATTTCTCAGTCATAACTCACCAAGAACCTAATCACCACTATTTCCACCTGTAGGACTTAGTCACTTCTACATTAATAATTCATTATATTTAATTTTATGTTAGAAGACTATACTGCTGCCACTGTTTTGCTAAAGAAATGAATGAAAGTATGTCACACCATGGAAATAGATGCAGAATTCCTATCACCTCCTAAGGGGATAAATTCCAGCATGGATTATTACTATCTATATATAGCATGCAGCTGGGGAGACATTAGAATATAATATCCTGAAAGCAACTATTTTAAAAATGCTTCCATTCCTAAGTATAATTCTATCTCTTTAGAAGAGATTTTTTTTAAAACTTGTTAGAAGTAAGAGCTATTACATGAATCAGATAGTCAGAAAAAGAACTTGTAAAATTGTTTAGCACATGCAACTGTGTTTACAGCTGAAATATTCAAACTTAGAACTGATGGCTGTACAGTTAATAGCACTGTTCTTCAGACTGTGGTTCCGCTGGTGAGGACCAGAATCAAAAAACTAGGTTTCAGTTAGCAGCTAGTAGCATGAAGCAGTTTAATCAGCCTCGCCCAGCACAGTGTTGTAGTCTGAAACTGCAGGGGAGTGAGGGTGGATGGATAGTTAAAAGAGCTGGAGCTGCTTCCGTCCTGAGATGGTAATCAACCCGTGTTGCATGATGTTGCTGAAGGAAAAAAAACAACAAACATTTGGGCCCAGAGACCCCAGCTACTCTCTAGGGTGCCACTGCAGCTGCCTTTTGTTTAAAGATTTTGTGTCCCTTTGAAGTTCAAAACCAAACTGGAAAAAATAACATCAAACCATTATGAAAGCACTTGATCAGTCAACAAAACAAAGAGTTCAGCCCTTCCCAAGACATCAGTAAAACCATTTTCCTATTTTGTCCTCCACCAAGCCATGCAGCTTTTTATTTTCCTCAGTTTGTTTAAAAGCGTACATCTTTACACCTCAATGCAGTATGTTTGCAGGCAATCTATCATCTCTGTATGGTGATGACAGCGGCCGTCTATGCTGTGGATTTGTCTGTCTTTCACCAGGAAGTACCTGAAGGCCATCACTCCCAATCTGGTTTCTCATCTATGCACCCTATTCCTTTGCAACCCAGGTCTCACCCCCTTTTGAGTCAATTTAAGGAAGAGAAACAGAGCACCAAAAAGCACTGTCAGGAAAAGCTTCAGAGTGTATTCAACAATCCTTGTAAGAGTTTGCTGGTAAGCTCTCTTCCTTGCAAACACTCAGCATTGCTGTTGCACGACTCGCTTGTAGACAGCAGAGGGAGTGACTTATGCAGGTTTCTACCGCTCAGGGTCACCCGGGTTTTCACCCCCATCACCGCATTTCCACAGCGTGTTCTTCTGCTCCCCTTCTTATACTGCAGGAAAACAAACTCACAGAGATCTACCCATTACCACTGCAATGCCTTTATTTGTGGTTCTTGCGGGAAGTTTCTCCAGGAGCCTGATACCAGAACTTAAAAGTGGTTTGTGCCTGGAGTGCACCAGCTTTAAGGATAAATGGAGAGAAAGGATAGAGGCCAAAGTGACTTCAAGGTTGAAGACAAATAGCAAACTACAGCATTGCAGGCAGAAATTCCAAAAGAGATCATACACATCCTACCCCTTGCCTACTTACCTCTAAAGCTTCTTTTTCTGTGTGAATCTTCCTGCCCGTGAGTAACCTGAGAATGAAACACAAATCTTAAAAAAGCACAAGCTCTCCAGCCAATGACTGCTTTGTTTACTCTTTGCAAGGAGGAAAGCTTGGGCTGCACCATACAGGCCTAAAGCGTTTGTAGCTACAAGGTCTGCTGTACCAGACCACTGTCTTTAAAAGAAACGTGCAGAGACACACAGTGCTTCTGAAGCCATCCTAACTCACACCAGTCCTAACCTGCTTCCTGTATTGATCCCTGGACCATAGAATTCCCTTACAAATGTCTTCTTTTCATCTCCCACGCAGCTGCTTCCTCCCCTTAGGGGGACAGCCTGTTATGTATCACAACAGATTATCCCCTGACCAAAGAGTCACAGCTATGTAGACAGTACGGGCAGGACATTTAAATTCTTAACTCCTACAACAGGTTCCCATAGTGGTAATTCTGAATCTCATTTTAGGGGGTTGACCCAAACAGTTTTGATATTCTGACATATAATAAGGTGTCTCCTTGAACAGCTAAAAAACCAAAACCCAATACATACATACAGCAATATATCAAAACAAATAAACTATACTGAGATAAAATAAAATAATAAAATCAGTCTCCCCTGCTTTTACCCCAAGTTTGTTTGTCAGTGAAAGGAAATAAGTACTTACTCAGCTTCAAACTGGTTAGGAGTAATTATATCAGCAACAGGTACAACTTTGTCCCTGTAGACTGGGAGAAGATCCTTGGGCACATACTAGGGGAGAAGGAACATTATCAAATGTTGTCAGCAGCATCTGAGATATTGGACTGCAACTCTCCTTTCCTCAACTACCATTCATGCTGTCATACAGCCCATCAGCAAAGGGAGATCAGTTGTCTAAGCAGGGGACAAACTAAGACGTAACAGGAGCCCCAAAAGCCTGTATGTTCTTGAGACTCAAAGCCGAAAAGCATCAGCTTTGGTATGCACTGGAGCTCAGCTAGGAAGGAGTTCAGGTTAGACTGAGTACAGGGGTCACCCCACCATCCTGAGTCCTGCTGTAACTCAGTTTAACAAAACCTTTAACGAAAGTTCATTGTTTACTAGTAGCTGATAATCTCTGGCAGAACCCCCTTTTGTCCATGTTTTTTTCTCTGTTAGTCTCAGGAAATCTGGAGAGGGACTTTTTACAAGGACATGTAATGAACGAACAAGGGGTAATGGCTTTAAATTGGAAGAGAGGAGATTTAGACATTAGGAAGAAATTCTTCACTGTCAGCGTGGTGAGGCACTGGCACAGGTTGCCCAGAGAAGCTGTGGCTGCCCCAACCCTGGAAGTATTCAAAGCCAGGTTGGATGGGGCTTTGAGCAACCTCGTCTAGTGTAAGATTTACCTGTCCATGGCAGGGGGTTTGGAATTGGATGATCTTTAAGGTTCCTTCCAACCCAAACCATTCTATGATTCTATGGGCCCCCGTGTTACTGTCACCCATTCCAATTGTATAAACAGCAGATACAACCCCACCACAGTATTGACCACTAGGTAATGCTTTATGAACAGGTAAACTGTAGAAAGGTACAGGAACAAAGAGGAATTCATAGTGTATGACTAGCTAAGGCAGAAGAAATTACTATTGCTGATCTCTTCCCACACTGCATTTTTACCGAAACTATTTGCAAGTTTTAATCACAAAGGAATATTTCTTTGTCAGTATGCTGCCTGCTGTTGTCACACAGAAACCTTCTGTCACTGATCGTAGCCCCACACCTTAGAGCTGTTGGATCTCACACGAAATAAGTCATCTTCATTTAAGTTGAAGTGGTATGTCAATTCAAATGATCACTGATAATGCCAGCCGGGCTATCAGCCAAAACAGATCTCCTGACAGATGAGGGAACTCCAATGAGACAAAGATGGGGAGCAGAGGGGTATGTTCCTGGTGACGTGGTCTGTATTCCACCTTGTTGCTCAACAGTTAGAAATAATCCCATGGCTATGCAGCCATCATTCTAATACTAAACTCATTCAAATAAAGGAAATCAAAGAACAAACTTTCTTGATGCTGGAATCCAAATCCAGCAAAGGTAAAGTAGCTTAGATTTGGTGTTTAAAATTAGTAAATCTTTATACATATTTATATAGCAAATACTCATTATACAGAGAATCCAAGCAGATAAGTACTTACCATAGAGCCTTCTCCATTCCATTTGTCACCCATCACTGGATCGCATACTGTAACAGAATAAATGTGGCTTTAGAAATGGGGTACAATTATAGAGACCTCATGGGAGGGAAAAGTTCTAGGTAACAGTAGTAGCTATGTAACAGAATTGAGCACCTTACAACTTACATATTCTCACAGCTCTTGCAGCACACTCAATCTGAAACTTATAACTGGTGACTGCCAATTCTGAAAGAGCAGGCCAAGCATCTTAAAAAACTGTCAGAGGGTTATAGGCACCCTCTCCTTACTTTTTCCATGTTGTTTTATCTGAAAGTGATGAGTATGAGGGTCTGACTGATGGGGCCTCTGATACGCAATATGCAGAAAGCCCTCGCCCTTCACTCCCCAAATCAAAACTCTGGAATAGTAACATGGTGGGGAAGAAACGTGGGAGAAGATGATAGCTGTGAAGAGAGTCCTATTTTTACTTTAGCATAAAAAGATACATGCCAAACTTACACACCAAAATGCTGTGTGTACACATAAAATAAATATGTGTATTACAATAAACAAGAAGAAAAATCCATGCCAAAGTAGATAAACTCCTATCAACACTCATTTGGCACAGGTTATGAATTATAAGTAGTATTAACAACATACTCCAAACTCCCTCAGTTTCAAAGTGAAGATGGAAACAGCGTAGCTTTGTGTGTTAAAAATGAACATTGTTCATTGTAATAAAAGTTAAAAAAAGCTTTTAGCAAGATAAAAAAGAAATACAAATGGGAAAGTATCAAATCAAGGGTTGGTCAGTGTTTAATTAAGTTTCTATGAGTAAAATGAGGGTAATATAATTTACTTTTTAAAAGTATTTTCATAGAATCATAGAATAGTTAGGGTTGGAAAGGACTTTAAGATTATCTAGTTCCAACCTGCCTGCCATAGGCAGGCTCACCTCACACTAAACCGAGTCACCCAAGGCTCTATCCAACCTGGCCTTGAATTACATTACATTTCCTTACATTATAATCTATTTCTTAAATATACAGGATCTTAGAAGCCTGCCTGTGTTCCCATCATCTGACCATTTCCTTCCTGTTCTACAGAGCTAAACGTTTCTTTCTGCTCATACTCCAACAGTTTTTAGTTTTCACTTACCAGTACAAGGCTCCGGAAAAGCTGGCAATACAACAGTGGTAATAAGGGCTAAAAAGCAGCAAACCTGGAGTTCGTGAAGATCTCTCTGCTACATTTTTCTAAATTGTTAAGTCAGATATCACACTGTGCAAATCCTGCAAACCATTCTAGATGTTTCCTGACCACAGTTTACAGAACCTGAAGGTGACAGGCTCAAACCTTCATTCACAGCTTCACATTCCACTAAATTCTCACTGACTTTGCCCTGTCACTCTAAACGTTTTGCTCAATTCAAGCCTACGCTGGGTATGTTCAAAAGTCCTGAAACACTCAAAGAGTCAGGAAAGAAAGAAGAAAATTTTTATCACAGGTTTAAGTCTAATTTGACATGTCAACAACAGTTGCTAGAGTCTATTGCTTTGAGTGCTCCTAGGCAATCTTAGCAGAGGGCTCCAGAGTGGAGTCAAATAAACCTCAGAGTTTAAGCTAAATTATGAAGCTTATAAGGCATAGTAAGACATTTCTGGGATGCAACATGAAACCATAGCAGGATAACATGAGAGCCTATCCTGCTGTTGACTGACTTGGAAAACAAGGAGAGGCTTCATCTATCAGCAGTTACAGGCTATGCCTCTGAACTACAAACAGCATCAACTGGCTGGGATTTTACAAGTCTTTCTTTGGTACAGCCAATCAGTCCTCAAGGCGCATTCTCCTTTGGACAGCACAATGCAAGAAAATTTCTGAAAGGCATAAAATCATAAAGATAAAAACCTGACTCCCTCAACACTTAAGCAATGCTGAAACACAACTTCAGCCAGACCAGAGTACAAGATGGTTGTGAAATGCTGGGTAATGTCAGACCAGGGTTTTCATCCTAAAACATTAAAACGCTGGGCATGTACACTGATGAAGCAGAAAGGATTACAGTATACATCCTTACCATATACTAGGTTAGAATTCTGTTGCTTCAACTCCTGGACAATGTCCACCACCATTGCAAGAAACGATGTGTCTCTTGTATACCCTTTGGGGAAAAAAAGACACTTTTGAAGTTATGTTTTCACAAGCTTTTTTTTTTTTTTTTCCTCTGGATAGGAATGTTGCATAGTTCTCATTCTTGAACGATGCATTTTGAGAACAAAGACATTTTAGTATTTCATTCAGGAATAATAAGTAGAAGACAAATTCAGACAGTGTTTGCACAAATATATATACAAATATAACCATAAAAACCCATTTACCAAGTATGTTATGTAAGAAGGGCTCATACAACTTCAAAATGCTTGAACATATATACAGAAAGGTCAGACTTGAAGGAAAAAACATGCCTTTTCTTCAAAACAGCAGTCTGAATCAGTCCTGTTTATCATCTAGTAAATAAGAAATATTTTAAATTCCATATACTTTTCACGTACTCTAGTTTGAAACAGTTTTTTTTAAATTATTAATGCTGGTCCAACACATTAATGCCATGGAGAATTAATCTTTAATATTTTAGAGCAATGGCTGACATACCAATAAAATTCCTATTTTTAAGCTTAGCAATGAAATAAGCTGGAAATAAGTTTTATTATATCTCAAGGCCCTAATCACAATGCTAGGACCACAATACTCTTATTTCATCATTAGTTTCTTTATTTTATAGATGCTTCTTTCTATACTTTATGCATTAGCTTTATTTACAACATCTATTAAATAATAATTTGATTTTCATTGATTTTAGTTCATTTAATAGTACTATTTTTAGCAAGGTAGTTTCTTCAAATGTTCAGCTTGGAAATGTCTACTCCACTAACATATTTTTAAATACATTTTGGAGAGTTATTTTTTTTTACTCACAAATCTGATCAATTCTTAGATATTGCAGAGAAATGCAAAAAGTTCTCGACAAAATGCTTTGTCTTATGTCTATGAAATACTGTTAATCAGTCAAAAGAGCCAAGCCAAGATTTTTCTTTACAATAACATGTGATGGTAGACTGGCTGAAAAAAAACCAAACCAGATTATGTTTATTAATGATTAATGTTATTGACAGAGGTGTTTAAAAAAAATTACACTGATTTGGAGTTTCTTACCTTGAGTATTTTACTCTAAGTGAAACAAATACATGGAGATCTACAAGTAATTAACAGCTACAGAAGTTAACAAAGTGTTACTTTGTATAATCAGCCTAAAAATAATAATTTCAATTTCAGCCAAGATATTGACAGCCATCAGACATACAATTACAGTAAATCCCACCTGCTGACAATTTTTTTTCCATGTTTGAACAATCAAATGCGGGCGGTTAGAGGTACAAAGTGCAGTTGTGCACTACAGTGAGAGAAAAAAAAATAAATAAATCTGTCTTTTTGGCCCTGAATGAAAAAAAATCTGAATTGTAAGTTTGACCACAGCACAACTGAACATTAAACCACTGAATTTTATTAGATCTTAAGAAACTAGTGCCATTTCTACCCATGCCTTCTTTTTTTCCATACTGAAATGGCTACACCCAGAGATATTTTTAAATGAACACGAACACACTGACCCATCTACCCACAAATCCAATTTGAAAAGGCACATTAATGAATATTTCTTTTATTTTTCTCCAAACTTTTTTCTGCTGAAGATTTCTGGGTTTCCTTCTACCATTTTTAATTTCTTACATCCGTTTTGCCAGTGTAAGACTGTGACAACAAAGGAGTTGTGAGTCTCTTCAAAGAGTTGAAAGTAAAATAAAAAAGGACTATATCAACTTAAAACGTTTACAAATTTTACATACTAACATCTCTTGAAACTCCTGCAATACAAAAGGGTGCTTTCCCTGAAAATGCCCTCTGAGTTCCTGTGAGGAAAGAAAGGGTGATCATTTATTTTTCAATCACAAAGAACCCATTTATGGTGAAATTAATTTCTTAACCTTAATCCAGTCTATTTTCTATTTAGTCTCCTTTACTTTGGAGATATTTCCTGAAGAAGAACTGATAATAACTCTTCAGACATGCCACAACCTTCAAGACAGAAAGACTGCTTTATTAGGGTTATGACCCAGACACTTAAAAGTTTTCCCTGTGAATGAAGCACTTTCCTGTATGTATAGAGATGAAATTAAATCAATAAATCAATAAAGTCTGGCAATATATTTCTGTTTACCTTTAAAAAGTGACTGTTCACAGCTATAAAAAATTGATACTGTAATCTAAACTAGATGCACAGCACTTACTGAGGTGAAACCCAGCCAGTAATCTACATTTGAGAAACAGGTATTAGATGAGAAGCAATTTTTTTATAAAAACTGCACACAGAATTTCTCCTTCCTAGAAAACATTCTACAAGAAATTCTCTGTGTCTATATTTGTAAGTATTTTTGTCTGAATTTATAAGCAAATATAGAAATACTTCTACATTTGTTTGCCTAATGGCAAGCAAATGAAAAACGCTGCATGGTCATTATGTACTGCAGAACTGTATCCATTCAAAGGACCTACATGGTAACAAAAGGAAAAAAAAAAACAACAAAAAAAGTACATCAAGATATATGACAAAAGTCAAAACCAAAATCCAACCCTGCTTACGGTTTAGTCTGTATCCAAGGCACTGCCCTAGAATGATCAAGTACAAAAAAGGAAGACAGACAGCTATGTATAAAATCATGCTGTAGCACTAGAGAGTGCCAGTGCTGCACATTTAGGAGAAATAGTTAAACTCATGTCTTCATAATAAATTCTAAAATAATACTCTGACATTCCTCACCCTTTTTTTTCAGTAGACACTCCCAAAACATTAATTAAGTCTGTACATGACTGGCCTGTACAAGTCTGTGAACTATACAAGGCAATCGATTTACCTAAAATGCTGGAAATACTGGCTGTTTCCAGCTAAACAGCATGAGCAGTTGAGACTGTCATACACAGACAAAACTGCAGAAGGAATCAAAGGAGGGAAAAATGCAATTGCTTGGTTTTGAATAAGGAGGGATGTGATTTATGTTCTTTTACTTCTATTTACATCTCATAGGAGCTTCAAGGAACAAGCTCTTCTTACCTGTGAGTACGTAATCGTACCGGTTGACCTTGTTCAGCTTAAGTCCTTCATACAGTTCATGAAGCTCATCTGAATTTAACACCTGACCCTTCCAGTGGGCATAACCTGCAAAGTAAATGCCAGATAATTTTTCAAGAGCTAGATTTTCTATTTAGGACCACAAATATTAGCACTAGAAACAATTTCCACCTCTTCTCCCATAAACAGTGTTGCCAAATGAAAGCTGCTGTCAGCAGAACAGTTAATGATGTGCTCAACTGCTTCTTAGCGTCTCTGTTTCCCAAAGGAACTACAGTGACTACACTGGAGTCTGAGATTGTCCATTTAGCAGCAAATCGAGCAGAGCACACGAAAGCTCCTGCAAGTTTTCTCATGGAGCCTATACAATCATCCCTTTCCTGTGTGGAGGCGGACAACCATATGGTTTAGATTTCACTGGAGGAGGGTGTCAGTATAATCTATTTTGTTATTTTATGCTATAAAATAAAAACAAGCTTAACAGCTAGATGACAAGCTTAAATGGGCTTGTGGATCTGTCTGGACACAGGCATCCAGCACTGCTGCACCCATCAGATACGGCATTTGCTGGGACCTTCATATAGGAAATAAAGCAACCACAGAACATTGCCATGGATGCTCTTTAACATACTATGGCATTTGACAGATTTTCTTCCTAAAATAGCACAGTTTTAATGCTGAGAATCCTAGAGGAGGCAAATGAGTATCAAAAAAGACACCATAAACAGAGAGATAGCATCCATACACTCTTATCCTTGAATGATCTTTATGAACTACAAGCCAATTATTCCTGGCTGAGAAGCAGATGAAGTTACTTGGGAGAAATTGATTTTAGCAAATAATTGACCAAGCTCCATGGCAGCCAATTTCAAAGAAAAAAAAAAAAACAAAACCAAAGACAAATCTTCCTTGACAGACGTTAAATATTTGTTGAAAAACGTAAATGCATCTTGTACCTTATCATCAAAGCCCACCCATCCAGATGGCAGCCATCAATCTCTCTATATAAGAATGATGCTTCCTCCAGGATATTAAATGAAGCATCCACAATTTAATTCTTCCAACCTTCATGAATCCAGAGTTTGTTAAAAAGCTTATATTTTTATTAACTGGAATTTGGAAAAGTAAAATGTTAAATGAGGTATCTTCTTCCAGACCACTATCCTGTGAGCACTGGTATTTTGTTTAACTTCTGATCTTTGTGTTAGAAAATTCTGTGATAAAAACTGTTGGCTTTGATGATCACTCTAAACTGTGTTATTAGAATAACTGCCAAAAGGTGCCTAGAGCCTAGGATAAGCATATTTTTCAGTTTTCTTTCTTATGAATGCAAATACACCCACAGCAGGGTGAGCAGATGGATCATTTTGTTCTTCTCAGCTCATAAAGGCCTAGCCTCTAAAACACAACTCGCTGCCAGCTGGCTGTGGGACTGAATCACATCAGCCACTACAGTTCCTTCCCTAGCAAATGCTTTTTCAAAAGTCTCTATGAAGAAACAAAGTGTGGGATTCCTGTACGTTAGGACTGTAGTTCCATCGCAGAATACAGTAATATTCAGAATGGCAATGCCCAACACCTAGGCATATATCTAGCCACAAGTATATAAGGAACCCTCTACTACAAACTCAAGTATTCAGCTTATTTAACACACATGCAGATGTTTGTTCTCTCACATCTGCAGCTTCAGACAGAAATAATCTGCCTTCTCCTCTTCTCCAAATCTCTACTTCTATTAGCACTGCAAAGGACACAACAGAGTATTTTCACAGTATCACAGAATGGTTTGGGTTGGAAGGGATCTTAAAGACCGTAATAGTTCCAATTCCCCCTGCCATGGACAGGGACATCTTCCACTAGACCAGATTGCTCAAAGTCCTGTCCAACCTGGCATTGAACACTACCCTCATATTAAAGAACTTACTCCTAGTATCTAATCGAAATCTGTCCCCTTTGGGTTTTTATTCCGTTGTGCCTATCAATAAAATCAAGTACAGTTATCACCCAGAATCAATGTCAGCTGGCAGAAGAGCAATCATTCATTTTACACATGGCCATAAAAATAACTGTGATAGACTGTCAAGACAATCTGTTCTCAGGAGCCATCCTTACAGAGAGACTCTGTACATTCAATATTTAACTAAGTTAATCTTCCTATGTCAAGCTGTCTTAAACAGCACAGGGTCTGTGTCACACTCATCCTCCACTGAAAGAGGGAAATAAATATGGAAACAAAATGTTAGATAGTGGCCCAGCTTAACTCAGGAATTGGAAAATTACCCACACAGGGCACAAACTCTGTAGCAATGACTTCCAAAGGTACTTAGAGGAACCTTTTTACCACCTGGTAACACATTTAATTACAACCTAATCACACAATAGCTGGAGTTAAAAAAAAAAAAGTCTTACGGGAACTCCCAGCAATTCACACAGACGAAAAATGGTAATGCCTTCACTGGATCTGCAGAGAACTGTGATTTCAGTAGGAGATGAATCATGTTTGAGTAAAAAGAAAGAAACAAAAACTGGCAGCAAGATGGGAACAACCCTAAACCCTTTCCTCAGGGTAACTTCATGTACCATTTATGAACAAGTGGCAAATCCTATGACCCTGCTTTTATCCTGCTCTCCTAGTGGAACCAAATAACAGCTTCTCTAGAGAGACAGAATAAAAAGTCAGTTACTTATATTCAAAAAAAAAAGGGCTTCACTAGCTGACAGATGGATAATTTGGGGTCCCAGGGAAAGGGACTGTCTTGAGAGGGGAAAGGCAAAAAAAGAAGAAAGCTGAGTCTTCCTTGTTTGGTTACAAAACCACCAAGTAATTCCCATCAGTGCTGGACTGAGGGAGCAGAGAGAACACTGAAAATTATGATACAGCTGTCTAAAACTGCACTTGGCTCAGACCAACTGCGTTAGTCTCCTCAATTAGTAATAATCTTAAACACACAGGTAAACTATAAACATCTTTATACCCCTATGCTTATCTGTGCTACAGCCTTTTATTTCAATTAAATGTTATATATTTGCATTTAGCAGATAAGGGAATGAAGAACAGAGAAGATATTATGACTCTTGTCACTTGTCCCTCTAAAAACAGGGAACTGCTTGAAAGAGTCCAGCGCAGAGCCACAAAGATGATTAAGGGAGTGGAACACCTCCCTTATGAGGAGAGGCTGAAGGAGCTGGGTCTCTTCAGCTTGGAGGAGACTGAGGGGTGACCTCATCAGTGTTTACAAATATGTAACGGGTGGGTGTCATGATGATGGAGCTAGGCTTTTTTCAGTGATATCCAGTGATAGGACAAGGGGCAATGGGTGTAAACTGGAGCATAGAAGGCTCCACGTTAACATCAGGAAGAACTTCTTTACTGTGAGAGTGACAGAGCACTGGAACAGGTTGCCCAGGGGGTTGTGGAGTCTCCCACATTGGAGATATTCAAGGCCCGCCTGGACAAGCTCCTGTGTGATGTACTCTAGGTTACCCTGCTCTTGCAGGGGGGTTGGGCCACATGATCTCTTGAGGTCCTTTCCAACCCTTGGGATTCTGTGATTCTGTGAAATGATGAATGTATTCATTAGACTTCAAGGAAATATCTTGGTTCATGTGTATGAAAAATTAAGACACCCAGAATCACAACCAAGAGAACATCTAATACTGCACCAAATATGAATTTACAACCTTTTATTTCTTGCCTTCTTCCACTGATACATTTGGGTATTTTTTCTTTGGAATGTATTTATAAGCCTCTTAATTACTTTCAAAACCAAGGAGAAAAGAAAAGAATATAAAACCCAGGCATACCAGGAAAAAAAACCAAAACCCAAACCCCCAAAAAACCCAAACCAAACATCCCCTGCCTCAAAAAAACAAACAAGCTACCACTTAACAATAGCAAGGCAGGTAAGATTTATTTGTTTTCCAACCCAGAACATTCTGTTTTGACATTTGAGTTCCTCCTGTGGCTCTCCCAGCAAAACTATTCCAAGTGGCTTCAATAACCAAGTATTTCACATGGGAAAAAAGGAAGAAAGATCTATTATTTAAGGCACATGATGGGCAGGCTGCCTGGTCCCAGCTGTGTTACAAAATCCACATGTAAACTCTGGCAAACAACCCGGCCTAAACATGAATTAATTTTTAGCTACCACAGGGCCTTCAACAAAACTAGAAATACAGTACTGGATTTTTTACAGATGGTCAGTGTGGGAGTAAAATACTACCAGTGTTATGCATGAGTGGAGATATTTTCGTCCCACATTCCACAGGTGAATGACTCTGTAGGGGTGGTAGACTGTGAAGAACCGCAGCAGCAAGACAATTTCTTCTGCATTAGACCTTCCAGCCAACCTAACCACCCACTACACACCCACTAAGTGGAAAAGTGTTTTGCTTGAAAATAAAGCACTGGGGGAAAAAAAAAAACCAACAAAAAAAAACCCCAACAACAACAACAAAAAAAAACCAACCACCACCAACAATAAAAAAAACCAACCCAGGCTGTTTGTTCTGGAGAAGTTTCAAAGGTAGGATTTAGATGGCAAAGTAAGCACATTACATGCTTACCATTAACTAACCGATTAAAAACTAAATTGCAAAACACTGAAGAATTAAAAATGCACCCCCAAAAATCAACAAAAAAAAAATCTAGATTTTTATTTCTGCACATCAGATGATGAGATACTCCTGCAAACAATACAGTAAAATAGCACAGAATCTTTGTAGTTGCATGACAGCTTCTTTTATTTGTATGCGAAGCATGATGCCATTCAAGGGTGAGTCACTCTTTATGATTAAGTTCCTCACTAAGCAACATGACAAACTGTTCTCCCAGGGGGACTGATTTAAAGTGCATTTTCCAAATTTCAGGATTATCAGAGACTAAAGAAACCTGCATTTTCTGAGCAGGAGTCAGCAGAAATAGGCCATGGGTATCATACTAATTTAAAGACAGGACAAAAAACCCCAGCAATGATTCACCAAAGAAAGCCTGTTAGTCACAAATTCTCTCTGCATTTTACCTTTTGTTTACATGACCAGGTTTAAAGACAAAAGAAAGGAAAGAAAAAACACCATGTCCAAAATCC